AGGACTCTAAAACTCGGTTCCCAGGATCCTCGGAGTGGTTCAGACTTCACGATTTCGATATCTGGGTTCTAGGGTAGGGATTCGTCTGGACTGCGATTGGTGACGGGGAGAGGCTAGAGGCCCTCGGTAAGTGGTGCCCCGGAGTTTGCTAGGCTCCAGGGGTTCGGCAATTGGAGCCTCTATCGCCGCCTTAAGAAAGACGCGCTGGGTTCGAAAGGACCCACAGCGCTTAGAGATCCGTCTCTCTCTCCATCTTTCTCTCCAACTTGGGTGGAAACCACCCAAGCCTTTTGTACGGCTAGCAAGCCAATAGCTAGCCGCCACGTGTGCCTAAATTAAGACCGGCCAATAATGTGGCTCAAATCTTAATACAAATGGCGGGAACTCCTTTGCAGCGTGCATCACTATAATGCAAGAGAAATGCACAATGCAAAGAAGGCTACAAAACGGCGGGAAACACTTTTCTGCGTGTGGGTTCTCTATAACAACAATTATAACAAATCTGTCGTGCAAAAGAGCTGCAATTCGGCGGGAACATAATTTAGCGGTGCCGAAGCACGCACAATCAAAAAATCCACAACTTGGGGTTGTGACACTGGTTATATTAATTCCTCTGAAATACACATAATGATGTGCTGGTGCTTCTGTAAGAAGGAATTTATAAATAGAAAAAATGGTTTCCCTTGCGTTTTTTGGACAGTAGGCTTAGACATCTTCTAAATGACTGTTGATTTATTAAACATTTCTAAATATGAATATTTAAACTATGAAGTAGTCTGCTTGTGTCTTTTGCAGTTAATGGTAAATGAAAGAGAACCAAGTGAATTCTCTTTATGGCTTGTGAAAACTACCTCACACTTTAAAATGTATTTTCTCTTGACATTTAAAATATTCATTTTCCTTTCGATTGGAAGACCTAGGCAAGTTTTTTGGAAAGGACCTAAAGAATATATACTGAGACTCTATCCCCATTCTCCTGGAAGTTTGAGAACTGCAACCTAAGGGACATTCCGATGTGACAGTGTTCCAGTCGCAGAAAAGTCCTCGTACCTCTCTTGTTCATAAAAAAAAAAAAAAAAAAGGGGGGGGGGGGTACTTAATGTCCATTTCCAGAAGAATATTTTTCTGGCATCCTGTACATGAATAATAAAGATCAAATATGTTTAAATCTTGTTTTAGTTAACCTGTATACAAGTCATTACAAACTTGAGAGCTTTAGGAAAAAAGGTAGCATTTTCAGATAATCTTTTTAATCTTCAAGTTATCACTGGGAGTGTAATCAAAGTATTGGTCAAGCATTATTTTCATTGCTCAGAGCACTTTTGGGTACTGTTTTTTTATATTTCAACTCCTTCCAGTAAAACAGCAACACTGAAAGTGTCCAAAAATTGTAACTGTAATCCAGGTGGTTTTAAATCATTGATTTTTTTTTTTTTTTTTTTTTTTTTTAATCAGTTTTATCATTGTGAATTTTTTTTAAACCAAGGTGATTGATATAACAATAAAACATATTGACTTATACCTAAATGCAGTTTTATAGTAGATTTGTGTACTTGGGAAACATGTACCAAAGTAGACATTATATTTTTCAAATATACTAGGTTAACACACTTTTATTGTTAGTAATCCTATGTTTAGTATGCTATAAAATAGTGAAATATATATTTTGTATTCACTAAATGATTAACCTTTTGCTCATTTGTATCAAGCTGCATTACGATGTCAGCTTGAATTGAATTAAATACACAAAAGCAGCACTTTGACTATATTAAGCAAAACCATAATGTTTTGATTTAGATGCTGTGTTTTAATCAAAACATGGTGCACCTTTACAACTAACTAATTTATTAAATACTAGCATCAACTGCTCTATTGGAAGTATGAACTGTGAATTAAACCAATCATTTTAGGTCATCCTGGGGAGAATTTTCTAAAATATCTCAGTAAAAGTCACTTAAGGTTAAATGACTACTTGCCTAATACTCTTTAAAATGACAGTCATTATTTTTACCTAGGCAGCTGAAAAATTTTACCGCCTTTTCCTTTCAAGTTTTTAAAACTGATAAATCTCATCTTCCTTATTTTCTTCCCCGTCTTTATTCATAACCTGGAAGAGAAAAGCTGTCTAGCTTTTTCAACTCCCAAGTGATTTCTCAGCTTTAAATGAACCAGTCCAAATGAAAATTATTATTTCTGCTGAAAGCTAAATAAATCAGATCTCAGAGAGAATAAAATTTGATACCATCCAGGTGGACTCAGTGGCTAGTCCTGATCAGAGAATCACACGATGGTGCCTGCTAGAGCCAGAGGCTGGGTATGGCCCATCTGGCTTGTAGGGCAGGGAAGTCTAGTACTGTTGCCTTCACCTATGTTGTATTAAAATCAAATTTTAATCTGTTTTAAAAACGAAACAATTAAATTTGAATTAAAAAATTTAAAATCTGATTTTAAATTTTTAAAAAATCCAGTACTTAAAAAAATAAAATATTAGCAGTTTTTGGCCTATCTGTGTGTTTTTATCTACCCTGATAGTAGTCCTCACCTTTGAATGCAGATAAGGAAATTTGCAGCTGTGTTTTTTTTACTGTTGGGTACGCTTGTTTAGCAACTTTAGAAAATGAAAAGTTTTGGTATTAAAAGTCTGAAAACTGGCCTCTGTCTCAAAGTATCATTACTGATACTAGATTCCATGTACTGGTAAAACTCCGTTCTTTAAAAGTAACATGTGCCAGTTCTATGGCCTTGCTTGTATTTTACTAAATATGCCTAGGAAGTTAGACTGGCTAGCTTTACTTTGTGGTTCATAATGTATATTGAGTTGCTGGTGAAATATATTTTAATATTAAAGGAAACTTTTCAGTTGTGAAACAATGACAAATATTTCTCTAAGACTTAATACCACAAATCTAGTTCATTTAAATTGATATCAGCCAGGTAACTTATCCATGTACATGATATGTAAAATAGATTACATCTGCATAGTATACTGTATTTAAAAAAACACGTTAAGAACAAGATGAAATATTTCCAGATCTGATTGATTATTAGACAGTAGTTGTCTCCATGTGCAGTGAAGGTATACATTACATCAGTCACAGTTTGGCATATTCTTCACATGCCAGTATTTCAGAAAAGATTTATATATACATTAGACTGAAAGGGAGCTTGAATAGTATTTGTACTACTTATATCGATGAGAGAGTGAGTCATGGACCAGTGACGCATCTGATGGTTTAGAAATATTAGCCCCTGAATTTTCTGACTTTCCGGTATATAGGCATATTTGACTACTAAATTGGCATCTGTTTCATCTGCTAGTCGCTATTTGGATACAAACCAACTTTACAAGAATTCCTGTTGACTTAAGATCTGTATACCTATCATTGTAGAATTATTCAAAGGAGTAGTTCCTGTTTGCATGCATTATTGCGATGCACATACAAACTTAGCATGTCACGCTTCGTAAAAAAACAAAAACCCAAAAAAACCCCTTTTAATAATAACTCTTTTCTTATGGCTTCCTGACTTGTAGCACGGTTTTTAATAATAAACTTTCTTACTTACTAATTGGTTTGTTTCTTTTCAGAGAGCAATCATACCTGGTCCACCCTTCCTCTTTGGAGCATGTGCAGTCCTTCTGGCTTTTCTGGTTGCCTTATTCATTCCTGAGCACAGTAAAGTCAGCAGTACCAGGAAGCACAGCAACAGCATCAGCAGTACCCAGAGCAACAATCCAGATCGTGGCAGTGAAGAGGACATAGAACCACTGCTTCAAGACAGCAGTGTATAGGGCTAGCTTTAAAGATTTTTTAAAAAACAACAAAAAAAACAGCAGCTACAAGAACAAATTCCACGTGCGCTGAACTCCAAAAGTGGGCAGGATGCAGGAAGCTTCTGGCCACTTAAAGGAGATTAGCCGAGAGCAACTCATCCGTTGTGTGTGGATGGTGAATTCTGGATGGGCCTGTGGTTATACAAAACAAAAATCCCACTAAGTGTTTGGTATTAGAGCAGGGTAAAGTTTGAGACTTTTAATCTTGTTCCTGATATTCAACCACGAATGCCATCTGAAGCCCTGGTTTTGGAGCGAAAAATCTTAAATACACAGACCTTCCTGAGAGACCAAACTTAAAAATAAGTTGGACATTTTGTTTCCAAAGTCATATGCAAAATAAGCAGGTCTGAGGCAGAATGCAGTTCTTGCCAACATATATTTAAAGATTTAAGTTTTGCATTTCTTATGTCTTGTCTTTGTATGCATGGCCCCTTTTCCCCTCATGGGTATGGGAGGGGACTAATCTATACAGTTCTAGTATCTGAAACGCTACTGATGGATAAATGTCATGTTAAAACTCCTAAGCCTGTAAACTACAATATCCCTTACTAACATAGAACCTAATATGCCATAGAACATTGATAGAACTAAGATTTTTTTTTTTATAGTTAAATGATCACACATTGAGAACCTTGCCTGTGAATGAAGGTCACATACAAGTCTTAAACCCACATTCCAGAGGTGTCTGACCTGAAGTGGCTAAAAAAAAAAAAATCTTGGCACCCAGGAGCACTGGTGAGGTGGTAACACTCTGCTTGTAGAAAATGGGATTGTAATGACATGCTGTGTAACACAAACAAATGTGAACACTGCTAGTGTGGAGAGTCAGGTTAATTGGATGCCAAGGTAGTTTACATCAAGACTTGTGTGTATTTTTTGCATTTTGTCACTATCTGCCGTATGAAAATTCTTCCCATTAATTTCACCCCTGCCTTAACTGCTACTTAGCGTGCATTTATAATATAATTGATCATATTTAGCCTTCATATCAATCTCTCACCTGCTGAATCTCATGGAAATATGCATATTAAATTCCTTTCTAAAAGATGCTTTAAAAAGTTCAGTGTCTACAAAGCATTGTGCTAATTTTTAGAGACATTTTATGAAAAGTTATACAGATTTATATGTATTTTGCTGCAGTGTAAATGGTCCATTAAACAAAACCAACTTTAACAAAGTACTCCTATGAATGTTTTATATGTATGAAATATATGTAGATATTTGTAAGGAGTTTTAATTTTTTTCCAGATGGGGTGCTGTGTAAATCTTGTATTTATAAATGTAATGAGGGTACTGACAGATATACAGCTTTTTATAAAGGATTGTGTATTGACCGAACAAATTTTAAAAAAATATATATTTTGAAACTTGTTCCGCCTTGAACAGAGATAACAGACCTTTTGTACAATGCGGTTTGGTTTTTAAGTTAATAAGCTAACTAATGCATAATAAATCTGCAACTTATGCTTTCTAGGTTTCATGCGTTAAGTGTGTGTTCTTGCAGTTTGTTAGCTTCTATGGTGTCATTTTCCTTGCTTCAGATTGAAAATTTACCATTCAAATAGATATTGCAGTATTCTAGTTGACGTACACGTCTCTGTTTCTCATACAAGTAGGACATTCACTACACCAGAAGGTTCACTATATGAGTCTGATGAAGTGTGATTGATGGATGGGGCAGCAAATGAGCTGGGAAGGACAAGGTAACAATTCATATTATAGATTTTAATAACCAAAGCCCCAAGTAGTGAATCTGACTACTCAAATGTTGCCATTTTTGATGGATAACTGATGCTTTTCATTTGATTAATGTAGTCTGCTTAACAACTTTTATCTTTATGTTAAAATTCTGAGACTTCTGAATTAGAAGTAGATCTACTAAAAACAATTCTGCCAGTGTTTCATAATTTTGGGATCTTGTTCAACAAACTGGATTCAGGAAAGCTGGTTTCTTAAAAGGATTTAAAGGTTTTTCTATGAAGTGCTTTACTAAATGAGTTACTAAAATGAATGTCAGAGAAGGCTCGACCCTACTCCCCTATGTAGAATAGAAAAATAGACAGATCATCAGATACTTGGCCAAGTTCATGTGTGGTGCTTCTAGTAAAGTTGGGAATAGAAATTTAATTTTCTGATTCCCAGGATAATGCTTCTATCAGAAAAATCAATTGTACTTTTTCCTGAGTGATGGGAAGTCTGACTTCAGAAGCTTTAGGAGCTGTCAGTATAGGGTAAAAGTCCTAGATGTTGCATTTCTGGATTACAGTGAATGGTATCTTCATGTCCTAATGTACTTGCAATATATAAGAAAAATCTAAACAGATCTGTTGTGCAGTATATTTGTTTTGCCAACCAAGCAGATGCTGTGGCTTGCTGACAAGATCTGCAACATTATCTTACCGTTCTCTTGCCTGGGCAACATCCTACATTCAGAGAGATAATGTACTCTCCCTTTTTGCAGGAAGATTATGCTACCCTTTGCCCCCTTGACCTATGCTTACTTGGTCCAGATAAATGAAGTTCCAAAACATTCAGCTCTGAGGCAATTTGTACCTTTTGGTATGTGTGTAGTTTTTGTTTTGTGTTTTTGTTTTTTTTTCCCTCTTTCTCCCTCCCTGGTCCTAAAGCAGACAGGAGCACCTGGTCCAACCTCCCCAAGCTCCTCTTGGAAACGGGCACAGGGGGCAGGTAAAAATACCCTGTTCACCTCTGCTTCCACAGGAGCATGGTGGGGCCAAGCCAGGAAGGGCTGTAGTCAGAGTGGGTGAATGAGGTTCACAGGGTGGTTCCACCTGAGTACGGTGGCAGCAACACTCCAGTTAAGCACTGAAGTAATCTGAGGCTGAACAACACTATTTTCTTCTTCACTTGGCATCACACCAGTTGAGAATTAAAGTTAAAATTCAGGGTAACCTTCCATATAAAAAGGTTGAGAACTGCTGCTCTAGCAGTAAAACCTATTGGCACCACTGGTCCTAATTTTGCAATCTCAATAGAGGTAGGAAGGAATTGGTGGACCTGACTTTCTTCATCTCCAGAAGTCTTTCCCAATGTAGATACATTTAGTAAAGCAATATGATGAAACTTTTTTTTTTTTTTCTTGTGCTAGGTCCAGCATTATCAACAAGCACTAGATACGCATATGTCAACAGGGGTGTACCCAAATTTCCCCAGAGGGGAAGGAAAAAATGAGTGGTAATAGTTCAGTAAAGAGATCAAGCAATCCCTTTTCACAGGCAGGAAAAAGTGCTTACCAACAAATTAGCTAGTTCCATCTTGTTCTTCCTTTTGACATGTGCTGTGATGCCAAGTCACAACCCTAAGCAGTACCTGATGGTAGTGGAAATAATCCAATTGCCCTGTTTATCTAATGGGGAGGAGGGAAGGGTAATAAGTCAAGCTACCATGTAGTGATATTAAAATTCTATACAGGTGCTGGTTGAGGTCTTGTTCTCTTATTTAAGTAGGAAATAAAGGTAAAAGATTGTTACAATCTCTCAGCTAATATGGAGAGAGTTGCTTAAGGCAAAGAACTCTACATTTCTTGCTTTACTCAGTTTGGAGTGCACTTACTCTTTAAAGAGTAAAAGGGATATCGTAGAGGCTCCATGTTTGCCTTTCTTGCTAGGTCAAATATTCTTATTTTTTGTAAGCAAAACTATTTTGTTCCTAGCTGGCAATACTGCTAATTCAATCTGAGATTTGCATCTCATGCTGCTATATTTCTAGCTTGTACATAATTATTAGAAAAGCTGACCCACCTGATGTATACAGAGGTGTAATAAAAGTGCATGTAAGGTATGCATGCAGTTACTGGAGAGACTGGAAAAGAGCACTGCTTGACTTTCATATCCTGCTGTGGGTTTTCAGGGCTCATAAAATCTAATAACTGAGCAAATTTCATCTAAAAGTTATTGAAAGACCATAAAGATTAGAGTTGGTTGCAGGAGCTTTTTTAAAAAAAAAAAGCAATTTAGATGAAAAGTGTGTTCTTCCCAGTCACACAACTAACTCTGAAACTCTTTTTTTTTTTTAAATGGCCTCCTTATACTCGATAGACTTGAATCCACTAATTTGGGCTTTGCATGGAAGTAAGCGACTACAAAGTGGGTGCAAACACTACTTTATTCTGATCTAACAGCACTTTACTCCTACTTTGGATGTTAATAATGGCAAAAGGTACAGATCAATGGGAAATCAGAACATTTAAATGCAAGTCAGGTTTTTGTTTTTGTTTGTTCAGGGGGGTGGCAGTACTAAGCAGCAGTTATTTTTCACCCAGATTAATATTCAGGAATGGTATTTACTGTCAAGGGTACTGATGCTTTGGGCAGATAGTTTTGTGTACCAAGAAAGAGTGGTAAACTTTTTACTTTTTACAGCCTGGGTCTGTCTTTCTTTTTCCCAGAGGAAAGACTGCCTATCTAATGCCAGAACTTTGTGAACTCCCATTGTCTCAAATTGTATCCTCCACTTATAATTTGACCTTCACCCCAAAAAGATCCTAAAGAATTTTACCAACTATTTACACACGCAGTTCTTTCAGTCACTGCTTATAGGTAGCCTCCAAGAAAGGAAGCTCTGTGGCATAAAACCAGAGCTTTTGTGTTTAATTCCTTGAAATTTCCATTTGTAAAATTGAAGCTGAAAGTTGGTTTAACCAAATTATGCATGGGCAGAATGCAGTAAACTTGATGTCATAAGTAGCTTTCACCTAACAGCTTTCTTAAGATTGGAAGCAGCTTGGCAAAAATACACACAAACTTTACATTTTCACTGATTTTTATTTTTTTTTATTTTTATTTTTTTTCAAACACCTTTAAATCTTTATGTTTTTGCAGAGTTGAAAGGCTTCTGTTGTTTGAGAGTAAACAGCAGCAGGGTGAGCTGGCTTAGGGAAAGCTAGCAGCTAAGGAGCTAACTACCTGCTATCTGAGTAGTAGCCGAAAGCCAACAGTAACAGGCACAAGGAACAGACAGCTAGGTTAAGGCCCCGTAGCCTCTCATAGGGCCTGCCCTGCTGTCCCCGGATCATGCGAGTTGCCCTCCTTTGGACCCTCTCAATGCTGTCCTCATCCCTCCTGAAGTGCGGCGCCCAGAACTGGACGCAGTACTCTAGCTGTGGCCTGACCAGTGTTGCATAGAGGGGGAGGATCACCTCCTTGGCCCTGCTTGTGATACGTCTGTGGATTCATCACAAGGTACAGTTAGCCCTACTGACCATGTCCTTGCATTGTCGGCCCATGTTCATCTTGGAGTCAAATTTAAACAATGATCCGCTCTCTGGATGAAAGCCGAAGGTTCCAATAAAAAGATAAAGCAGCCAATCAAAAGGCAACTTTATTTCTGACAAGTAATGGCTGGGCTGGGTGGTGGGACGAGCAGAGGCCCAGAAGGCACACCTGGGCCTCCACTTGTCCTGCCACCCAGCCAGGGCCCCACTCATCCCAGCCCTTGCTCCTGCCTGTGTCTTGCTCCCTCCCTCACTGCAGGGGCCTCGATCTGCTTTTCCCCCACCCCCTGGCCCTTTCCCCTTCCCCAAAGACCTGCCCGCTAGGGGAGGTGCGCATGCTCAGCCCCCCAAATCATTTTTTCTCCCTCTGCCTATGCATTGTCTTCCCCAGCCCCACTCCCTCCCTCACTGCGGGGGCTTGGATCTTCCCTCCCCCCCCACACCTTAAAAACAAGAAAAAATATAAAGGGGGTACATGAGCTGAAACTTTGAGATCAAAGGGGTCCACTTGTCAAAAAGAAGTTGAAAACCCCTGGTATACCTTGTTGTGCCACTAAACAAAAGAGGGTGTAAGAGGCAGAATTAGGAGGGAAGCATTTTCTGCTTTTATTACATTTGGAAAGGAACACTTCTGTATAGTTCTTTGTTTCTTTTTAGGCCCCATCTACATGGTACAGTTAAGTCGTGATTAATCGGTTCATCATGCCTTATGTGCTTGCCCTGCCACATGTTCAATCAATGAATGGCATGATAAATAAAGAAATAAGCCACAGAGTTATTCCACGAAATTTATGTAATAGCTTTGCAGTTGCTTCCTATTACACTGTTAATTGAACATATGGTCAAGGGTCCTTGGGGAGCCCATGTGCACCCCTAAGCCTAGGAGCTACCAGCTGACAGGGCTCCCAGGCTCAGGTAGCCCTACACACCCCATGGCTGGGAGATGGCAGCAGCTATGGTCTGCCAGCCATAGGGGTGCGTGATGTGCCCCTGTGGCTAGGAGCTTTCACAGCTGAGGTGCTTCCTGGCCATGGGAGCTTGCTTTTGGCCAGTGCAGGGGGATCCTGGGATCAGGCTGCCCCTGCACCAGCAATAAGAAATGATGAGATCTGTTTTTCGAACCTATAGTCACGCCTTAGCCTTGCACGTGTATGGCATGGTAGGAAGTACAAATATGTGGATGAACATTAGATCCCATTGTACCTTTACATGCATGTGTAGAGGGGCCTTAGATTCCTTTCCA